CTACAACGACTGGCTTTTTTGCTCTTTTATGTGTCTTGAAATTTTTGATCCATACTGAACATTGTGAGTAAAGAGCGGTAGACACTGAAGTAATAGTACTTGCATCTAAAGTAGGAGTGCCTCAGCCGTGAGGCTGTGAGTGGTCGGATGGGGTGCACGCAGTCGCCTTGCACACGTGTGCTGCGGAGGCGTTCTGTGCTCTTTCCCCCTCTCTCCCTGAACTGGTCACTGCTGTTGCTTCTTACTCAGGGTCAGGTTTGTGGTGAAAGCAGAGGGCTAGTTGGTTGCTTGACCGAGCCTCCATTTTGGGTAGGTCCTGTAAGTTGGACCTTAGTAATATATTTCATCCATCTCCCCTCTAGCAAAATCCTTTATGTGGATGTGATCTTACAAGGTAGTAAGTTTCCTCCTTCCCCATTAGTGATGTAACATCCACTTTTTATTAGAAGACTTCGTGTCCCTTCTTTAGTAGCATTCTTTTAATGGTTGTGTTGATCTACATAACATGAGCCCTTAAATTATGACAGTTAAGGCAAGCATGGTGGTACACACCTGTAATCCCAGCACTCTGGGAGGCTAAAGCAAGAGGATCAGAAGTTTGAGCCCAAGTCTGGGCATGGTGGTGCATGCTTGTGATTCCAGTGCTGAGGAGGCTGAAAACAGGAGGATCATTACAAGTCTGAGCTGCATAGTGAGACCCTGTACCAAATATATAAATTGTTTTAAAAAAAGGAAGTTTGAGCCCATTGGGGGCAACCTAGTGATCTATTCCATTATACTCTTAAAACCAATTGTAAAGAATAAGCAACTAATAACTGTATTTCAGTAAAACTTGCAAGACCAGATAGTTGCTTAGGTTTTTCCTGTAGGTTGTAGCTTATAAATACTGTAGTAGACAATTACCTGTAAAATAAAACCTTACTGACATATAATTCACATACCATACAGTTCACCCATTTAAAGTATATAATTGGGGCCAGGGAGATGGCTCAGTGGAATAAGCGCTTCCCTGGCAAGCGCAAGGACCTGAGTTCAATCCCTGGTTCCACACACACACACACACACACACACACACACACACAAAAAAAAAAGTATATAATTGTGTGGCTTTTAGTATCTGTGGTAGAGCTGTAAAGCTGTCCTAACAGTCAGATTTAGAACATTTTTTTACTCCAAGAAGAAATCCTCTCTGGTCCCTCATCGCAATAGCTAGTCTTTCTACAGCTAGTCTGCTTTCTGTTTCTGTGGATTTGCCCATTTTGGCTGTTTCATTTAAATGAAATCATAATAGCGCGTGATCTTTTCAGACTGATTTCTCTCTATTAGTGCGTTTTCAGGGTTCACCTATGTTGTATTTGAATTAATACCTCACTTACTTTTCCTGCTGTGTAACGTGTTAGAAGTGTCACACCTGGTCAAAAGTTATTAACCTATCTCTTTGAGTATAGACATTCTAGTGGATGTGGGATTATTTTGCATTGTGGCTTTGATTTTCATTTCCTTGTAGTTGATGTTGAGTATCTTCATGTGCTTATTGGCTATTTATGTTTTTGAGAAAACGTCTGTTCAGATCTTTTTGTCTACATGCAGTACTGAGTTGTAGAATTGGTTGAATTTTAACAATGCCTTGTGTCCTCTGATTACATGCCCTTCGTCAGATGTAAGAGTGGCAAATATTTTCTTCCATTTTGTGCCTGGTCTTCTTCTGTTGCTTTTGCTTTCATATGTAATAAGTCATCACCTAGTCTAAAACTTCATGCTCTAAGGGTTTTATCATTTTCATTTCATGTTAAGCTCATTTTTGTATAGGATGTGAAGGGTCTAGAATTCCTATTCATGTGTAGTCAGCTGTATTAGCACAATTTTGTTAAGGAGCACTTGTTGAAAACATTGTTCTTTCCACCATTAAATTGTTTTGGCATCCTTGTCAAAAGTCAGTGTATTATTTATGTGAGGATTTATTTCTGGAGCCAAAGTTTATACCACCGATCTGTCCATTGCTGTTATGCCACTGTCACACTGCTTTTTTTTTTTTTTTTTTAATATATTTGGTACAGAGGCTATAAGGTCTCACTACACAGATCAGACTCAGAGTGATCCTTCTGTTTTCAGCGCTGGGATTACAGGCACGCCCAGTCTCCTTTGCCCTCTCAGCCCACCCTCGGGGCCAGCACAGCACGCCAGGATCGAGCCCCAGTCCTGTGTCTGCCTAAGCAGGCGCTTCAATCTCCTGAGCTGTCTGGCTGGCCCCTGCATTGCATTCTCTTTAATTAATGCAGCCCTTTAGGTTTTGACGTTGGAAAGTGTGAGTCCTCCAACTTTGCTTGCCTTTCAATATTGTTTTGTCTGTTAAGCCCACTGATTTACCATATGAATTGTAAAGTTAGCTGGTTAATTTCTGAAGAAATTACCTTGGATTTTGATGGGCAGTAAATTGAATCTGTAGACTATTTAGGGAAATATATGACAGCTTAAAAATACTGTTTTCTCTGCAGAGGTAGGACAAGGGGCAGAGCATGTACTCACCATGGGCATGCTCTGGTTTCAGTCCTTCAAAGAGAAAGTCTCTGGTCCCTAACCATGGAAGTTTTTCTACTTGTATAGGTCATCTTTAATTTATTTAACAGTTGTAGTTTTCACAATATAAGTTTTATGCTTTTTTGATTAAATTTATTGCTAGGAATTTAAGTTTTTCTATTTGATATTATAGATAGAATTTTATAAATTACATTTTGATGTGTTAGTGCATCCTGTAAATTTGTTGAATTAATTTGTTTTTTGGTATATATACTTTACATTTTCTACGTACTATACAAGATCATATGATCTGTTAATTTTTCTTCTTTTCCAGGTTTTTTTTTTTTTTTTACTGTAGTTGCTGCTTAATTGCCCTGTTTTGAGTCTCCAGTAAAATGGTAAATAGTGATGACAGGAGACCTCCTGATTTTGTTCCTGATCTTCAGGGCAAGCTTACCGGTGATATTGGTGTTGTTCACTAGGGGATTTCTATAGATGCCATATATCAAGTGGAAGTTTTCCTTTTTTTTTTTTTTTTTTTTTAACTACAAATGAAACTTAAGACCTTGTGTTTGTCAGGCAGGTGCTGTGTTGGTGAGCTATATCCCCAACCCTGAAAAAGATTTTTGTATTTCAATTTTGTTGAACGTTTTTGTCACGAGGAGGTGTTTTATTTTTGTCAAATGCTTCTCAGTAGCTATTGAAATGATCATGCAGCCGCGCTGGTCCTGCCCCCAGGGCACACTGAGATTGGGGATTGAGACTGGGCGTGGTGGCGTGTACCTGTAATCCCAGCTCTTGGGAGGCTGTAAACAGGCAGATCAACATAAGTCCAATCCAGTAGTGAGACCCTGAACACCCTGTAGACCCTTCCCTAAAATACAAAAAAAAAAAAAAGAAAAGAAAAGAAAGAAATGATCATGCAGTTTTTGTCCTTTATTCTCCTGATATGACATATGAACATTGATTGGTTTTCTTTTTTTTTTTTCTTGTTTTTTACTTTTAAAGTTCCTAATAGTAGGAGAAAATATCATACCATGTCTTTTAAATAGATTGTAAGTCAAATATACAGTATAAATCTTAAAACAAAAATTAAGATTAAGCAATATTCAGAAAATTAAATGCTAATTAATTAGAAATTAAATGTTTCAAAACAATTGAACTAAGGAAAAGTTTTCGTGATAGCAAAGAAGTACTAAGAGTAAAACATAAGATAAATACTGGAATGGCAACAGTTCGGGGTAGGTTATTGCACAAAGTTCTAGTGAGTGATTGACTTTCATATACCAAACTACCTTTATGTGTAGGGTTGGGTCACCCTTGATGATGACATGTGTGCACTTCTTATGTATTGTTTGCTTTGATTGTTTTGTGGAGTATTTTTACATACATATTTCTGAGAGATTGACTTGTTTTTTCTTATAAAGTTTTGTCTGGCTTTGGTATTAGGGTGGTGTTGGTCTTATACTTGGAAAGTTTTTTCTCATTTTGTTTTTTGGAGGAGTTTGTAGAAAATTGACATTAATTGTTCTTTGAAATCTTGATAATATTTAAGAGTAAAACCACCATTTTAGTAAAAACCAACTTTTATTTTCTTGCTAGAAGTCCTAATATTACTAGTTCAAGGGGTGGGGGAGATGGCCCAGTAGGATCAGGGCCTGCCTGGCAAGCCCAAGGGCCTGAGGCCAGTGCCCGCTTCAGGCCTCACGCTTTTCCAGTGGTTCGTACACTTCTTGCTTAGTATGAGGTTCGGACAGCCAGGGCTTTCTGCAGACGCTCGTTCCACCCTCCACCTTTGGAGAGCCTTGCACACCTGAGCCGCGCAGTCTCTGTTCTCAGGAGCAGCTCGCTGTTACTGTGTACTTCACTCGTGGCCTGGTGAAGGGTGATGTTTGCTTCTCATGCTTCAGCCTTGGACTGAGGCAGGCCTTGTATCGCTCAGTGTCAGAGTGGGGATTTTTTTCAGTACAAAGGTTTCTGTAGATCGTGGTTTGGGAGGCTGGGAAGTCCATTATCCGGTGATGATGTGACCGAGGGCATCACGTGAGACAGCAGGTGTCTCAGAAGGGCTGTAAGGGACCCTGTCCTTTCCCCTGGGAGCAGGACACCTGATAGCAGCAGGCTCTTGCTGTGCATCAGGGTAAGGTCTTGTGCCCCAGCAGTCTCAGCCCCTCGCCCCGCCCAGCAGACAGTGCTTTTCCTGCTTCTCTCTCGGTAGCAGTTAGCCTTCACTGGCGACCAGGGGTGGGCAGAGTCTTCGTCCAGCAGTAGGTGGCTTTGATTTCTGTCCCTCTCCACAGCAGCTGGTTCCTTTCTTGTGCAGGAGGCGGGAAGGTTTTCTTTTCACTTGCCTTTGATGCCTTGGTGCGTACTGTATCCAAGTGGTGTCCTTTAGGAAGGCAGTTCCCGAGCCGTAGCCTTTTAGAGAAGGAGGCCTGCGGTTGGTGCTATTGTAACACGTTGCTGTGCTTGTTCTTTTCCAGCCTGGGCCTGATCTCTGACTCCTTTCACATGTTTTTCGATAGCACTGCCATCTTGGCGGGACTGGCAGCCTCTGTTATCTCAAAGTGGAGAGACAATGATGCTTTCTCCTATGGGTAAGACTTTTCAAAAATCGTTTTCTTGAAGCATGGAATGTACAGAGAAATACTCAAATCTTAAGGTCAGTGAGCTGTTACAAATTGAGCACATCTGCAGAATTTAGAGCCATGAAGCCTTTCCTCGTACCTTGTCTAGTCCTTCCAGTTCACCTGAGACTAGCCTTTGTCCTGACGTCATGGCTTTGTTTTGACTGTTTAAAATCTGGAATAGTTGGTAGGGTTTTTTGTTTTGGCTGGCTCAGGCTGCCTTCAGGGCAGGTCTGGGGATCAGACCGCGGTCCCCTGCGCCTGACTGGGCTTGCCAGAGCAGGAAGCAACTGAGCTGACCCGCAAGCCCCCTAAGCCCTGTATAATTGGAATTGGCTGTATGTAATTTTATTCACATCTAAACCCTTTGGTTTAGTGAGTGGGCACTAAACACTTGCCAGCACATTCACCAAACACATTTAGGTGAGGTTATTTCAATTTAGAAGTATTTCTCATAACTTATGTTTTTAAAGAAAAAAGTCATTGATGAGAAATGGTGATTTTTTTTTTTCTCATCGAAGGCATAATTTACTGTTAATTTATTTAAAATAATTTCATAATATGGTTTTATCTGACTTACCTTCTTCAGTTCTATGTTTACGTCTTCATTTATACATATATACGTATATGCACATACTGTCACTGATTTGGACAATTAACTAAGTAAATGCACTGAGGGCCTGTGTTAGGCCAGCTTAGCGACAGGTGACTTTCTGCTGCTGCCTCTTATTGAGAATGCTCTAAATTTTCCATTATTTGATTTATGCTTTCTGTTTCCTTTTTTGAACTTAGAATTTTTTGTAGCATAATTATATGCAAGCAGAAGTCAACATTAATTTCTTTGTCTTTCTCTTATTGATTCTATTTTTAAATTTCTTATCCTGTGTTCTCTGTGTGTGTGTGTGTGTGTGCGCGCGTGCGTGCATGCGTGCACATGTGCATGTTTTTTGGGACGGATTGAGGAATAAAAGCTGATGGATTATTTGAAGCAGTGAATAATGGTTACATACTGAATAACAGCAGTCATATATAGCTGCAGTGTCAGCACACAAAAATAGAAGTCAGTAGGCTGAACCTGAGGATGAATCTCTGTAAGCAGCATTCCAAGGTGAGCGCAGTCTGGACTGACTCCACAATAGGAGAGACAGGCAGCTCTGAGAGCAAGCAAGACTTTCTAGTGCTGGTTTCTATAAAATCTTGTTCGCATCTTGTCATGCTCTTAGTTTTGAAATGGCAAATCCAGCATAAAAGCAGTATGCATGCAATAGCTAGATGTGTGTTTTTATAATGTCTACATAGAATTGTACCCTTTTTTCCTTTTGCCCTAGTTGAAGAATTCAGACACCAGTCACACTTAATTAGGTAGTAGCACTTTCCTGAATTACATGGTCTAATTTCAAGACATGCTGTGTTTAAGTAAATATAATCATTTGTAAGGCAAACATGTCACCTTTTTATAAGTTTTTCCATTTAAACCTACAGCCAAGAATGGTGGTGAGTTGGCCCTTGACGTTAATCCGTTACAGGAGGTGTGATGGGTACCAAACGCGGATTATTTTGGCTGGAAAGACTACGAGTCCTGAGGAAGTTGACCCAGATGAGTTCTAGCTTGGGTGTCATGTGCCAAACAGACGTCCAGTGGTGGGAGAGAATACATCCACATATGCTGAGCCCTGCATTTGGCCAGTGTCAGAGCGTTCTGGTGCCAGGGAGAGCGGTGCAGCCACGTGTACAAGCTGCTTCACTTGCTTGAGGTCAGCAGTGCCAGAGTGTATGGCACACACTTACTGTGCAAGGAGTTAAAACAAAAGGTGCCATTCATGCCTTTGATCTTGAAATCTAGGAGAACTACAGGACAAACAGCTTTCAATCAAAAAATAACTATGGCACTAAAAAGGTAGTTTTTAAAATCCCTTTTTATTTTTGGACAATAACCCTGGTGACGTACTAGATAGATGGCTTATTGTTTTTGGCAAGTTGCCTGCAAATTATTTTAATTTGATGTACTTTTCTCCAGAAAAAATAATACATAGTTTGACAAATAATATGTTAATATGATTTACTTATACTTGCTAGAAGACCAACATGCATTATTTCTAAGTGTAGAACTACATGTGGTGTTAGAATGCATTTGATAGGACAAACTCCAACATAACTAGATAGAATATCTTTCAAGAATTTCTTTTCCTAAAAACGTATTCATAGTCAAATTTGTGTTACTTGGGAACTGACACAGAAAGCAGGAAGAGCAGTCTCGACTCTCATTACATTATTTGAGGAGAGTGATTAAGTCACATTAGCACATTTTCAATGAGATTTGAACACAGCAAAATGCTGAGTTGAAGCTCTTTCTGTGAATTTAAGCCAAGTATGCTTTGCAGAAAAATAAAATCTTTCTCCCAATGCTTCACACACGTGTAGGAGGCAGAAAGCTTCAGGAGTGCATGGAGGAAGAGACGTATTTTAAAAAGTTTAATTAGAATTATATGCATCTAGAATTTATTCTAAAAGTAGGTAATTGAAAGTGTATGCCGATTTATCAATCTTAGAAAAGGAGAACGTTAAAAATGTAAATCTCAGGTCATCCCTGGGATAACTCCGGAATAATGTTACATGGTAGCAGAGCTGCTCTTGCCAGACCTAAAAGCTGAAAGGTAGAAAGAGAATCTACAAGGAGTCCCTAGAGAAGGAAGAATAAGGAAGTTCTTAACTCCCCGGTTTCTAGACTTTTCTGCTGCTCTTTCTCTGTGGATCTTTGCTTCGTCTCCTTTGTCTGTTCCGATTCTTTCTTCAGTGGGAACTTGAGATTTAAATTTCTGTGAAAGGTCTTTATAAACCTGTGTATGCTAAGAAGCTTGATTAATTGGCTTATAAATCTGTGTTTTGTGATGTTCTATTAAATGTAATTCTTAATTTCCTCAGTCATTTCCACAACATATTAAAATGTCCTATATTTATAAATACTTGGATTTTGCTGGTACATATAAGCATATAATATGGTTTAGAATCTGGGGTAAACTTACAGTTTGATTTTTTAAGAAATAACACTGTTGCTTACTGTGCTTCTGTTTAGGTATGTTAGAGCGGAAATTCTGGCTGGCTTTGTCAATGGACTCTTTTTGATCTTCACTGCTTTTTTTATTTTTTCAGAAGGAGTTGAGGTATAGTAGATAATAGTCAATAAATTACGTTTCTGTAATGTTTATTGGTTAAAGATATGTCATAACCTTGTTTTCAGCTGTCATAATTTATTGAAGGCAGTCGGAATAGACAAAGTATTATGTGTAACAGAAGCTTACAAAATAGTTGAAAAAATTAAACTGTAAACTTGAAATTGAAAACATGAAATGATAGTGCCTCCCGAGCTCCGAGTGAAGTGTGGATGCTTGGATGCGGCGGCGCGGCTGGGCAGGGAGGACCGCTGGAGGTGGGTGAGAGTTTTATTAGTGTTTTTGGCAATTAAAGAAAACATCTTAAAGATGAGTGAATTTACAGAGGGCGGTATCTTAAGATGCCAAAAAGAAACGAGTTTGGGAGCAGAGAGAGATTCACACAAAATGTTAGTATTCACCTAGAAATGGTAGTTGCTGCTTCTCGGCAGTGTTGACCACACTGCCTTCAAGCTGTCTTGGCAGATATTCTGGAGCGCATTTCATTCTGAAAATTGCTGGGATTTTTAATATTGCCTTGTGTCTGTGCCAGTCGATAAGAAGTTGTGTCGGTGCTGTGTGTCGTGTGTTTTGCAGAGAGCATTAGCCCCTCCAGATGTGCATCATGAGAGACTGCTGCTCGTGTCCGTCCTGGGCTTTGTGGTAAATCTAGTAGGAATATTTGTGTTCAAGCACGGAGGTCATGGACATTCTCACGGCTCTGGTATGATGGTCAGAACCTTTTGCTTCTTCATTTCCTGACCACTTTGTGTCATGGTTATTTTTTTAAAGTTAAACCGTATATCAGTTTTTAATAACAAAAGTAATATGTCAGAAACTTACTAATGTCTCCTCCGCTGTCCTCCTGCTGCCTGTGTCCCTTCTCCATTCTAGTGCCTTCTCAGAGCCGTGTACTTTGTCACTGCTTCAGAACCATCCCCTCACAACGCAGCAGCTCATTTCTTGCGCTTAATGCTATTCATATAAAACAAGCAAACCACAAAAACTTTGTGTATGTAGATGTGAGAAATTCCCTGTATGATCTGTTTTCAAGGTCTTTCCATTTAGTGCATATCCATCTGCTTGTCTTGTTGGCAGCTACCCCACAGCACAAGCCATCACATTTAACCAGTATTCTGTGAGTAGACCTCAAGTCCTTTGCACTTTTATGCTAGTCCCTGTGGGTCCTATTCTTGGAACACATGCCAGGTGTCTTTCCAGAGCTGTGTTGGCCTCTATTGTATTAATCATATTTAAATAAAAATTTAAATTTAACATTTTTGTTAATTAAAGTTAAAAATTCAGTTTTTCAGTTGCATGAGTGACATTTGAAGTGCCCAATAGGGCCAGCGAGACAGCTCAGTGGACTAAGCGCCTGGGTTAGATCCCTGGCACCACATGCTGCACTGGCCGTACCCCCGGGTGTGCTGGGTGGGCCACTGAGTCCAGGCATGGTGGCACACACCCCTGATCCCAGCGATGAGGAGGCTGAAAACAGAAGGATTGCTTTAGGTCCAAGCTTTGTAGTGAGACCCTGTACCAAATACATACATGAAAAAGCATAACACAAGAAAAACTTACAAGGCAGTTCCCTACTGGGAACTCTGTGTCTCCAGCTTCCTGTTGTGGCTCCCTGCTGGCTTGGAGGGAAGCTAATCTGTCAGAAGACAAAGCTGTTGCAACTATTGAGCTGCTGTTTGCATGGGAGAAAGAAAGTAACCTCACTGCTGTGTTGGGGATGTAAACCCAGATGTGAGGCGCAGGTCAGATGCCAC